TTAATGTCAGGCTCTGTCTAATTGTTAAAATGTATTTTCGATGACGTAAATGAAAAAGTCTTTTATAAAGAGCATTTTGATATAGCTTAACATAATCACGATTATTATTAGCTTAATCCTTCGGTACCATACACTACAACACACTTGGGATAGCATACTCAATCCAATCCGATTGCTTATAACTTTTATAAAAATGAACATTGTAAAGAACGTTTCTTAATCAAAATGCCAGACATTAAGAAACACAACAGTATGGTAATAATGTGTGTATTTTTACTAATAAAACAGTTATAAGCATTATGTGGAAAAAGCATTATGGGAAAGCATTAGAAAAAGAAAATCGAGTATGATATACTTAGAGTGGCACAAAGTATCTACTAACATCATGATTATTCCCATAGCTTATTATTAACGTAATTATTTCTAAAAAGCTGACGTAAATATTAATTGTATATAATAGTGAATAGTAATAATAAATAATATATAATTTGTCTTATATTAATCGCATAATTAGTTATTAAGTAAAATATCTCTTCCATCGACGACGTTTGCATTAATATGCCTAAATTGAGATTCAAATTTCCCTATTTTCTTATTTTGCGCGTGAAAATTGAAATTCTTCTTTAACAATTATCGAGACATTCTTAAACTTTTCGGGAAACTTGAAAATCCCTTTAAGACACGGAGATCTTCAACGTCGTCACGGTGTGACGCGTGAAACTGACAGCCAACGAGCAACAAACATGCGGTCGGAATACCTTTGTCTACATCCACGTTTATCCCAATTCGAAAGGGAAGAGAGAAAGAGAGAGAGAGAGAGAGAGAGAGAGAGAGAGAGAGAAATATATCGCACATGTATAAAGAAAGGCACATTTGCTTTCGTGTTCATGGACGTCACACGTGGAGGCTTAATCCATGGAAGAAAAGAATAAACTATCGGCCGTTGCGACGCGTAAGACAGCGGGCAGCTTGAACGGCTTGTGGGACGTGCAGGTAATCCGGATTTTGGATTAGCCTAAGCTCAGACGAAACGCCAGGAGGTCGTCCATCCGTCTGTTTGCCTGGACGGACTTCTGGTCTGTTTCTACCCGCCCTCCCCTCCTCGAGTATTCGCTTGAAACGGAAATAGGTACGAGCATCGTGTCACGAGCGCTTCTCTTCTTCGTTCGCGATGACAACGTCACTACTCGACGTCTCCATTGTGCCATCCATCCCCGCAGATGACGTTACCCGATTCGTACATCATCCGAATTTGTAAAGAATCCCTGCAGAAGAAAGACGCACGAGCCAAGAAGCCAGAATCGGAGAGGAAGCGACTTTATGCGTGGGATGTACGGTATCGTTGGTGAGATGAATGGAATAAAATGAACGCTATCGCGATCATACAATCACTGAATCACATCTCTGAGAACTTTTTCAGTTTTTTTATAGAGAATCGTAGGAGAATTCTGGAAATATGTGTAAATACTAATATTGAACACGACGATCAAAAAGTTTTTTTAATAAAAATTATAAAAACTTATAATAAAAAGATCTAATAGTTAGTAGTTAGTAATAAAATATCACTATTAGTTTACAAATATTGAAAAGAAATTAAATTGTATATAATTCGTATTTTAGTGTATATTATTCATTTTCGATAAACTATACCTGTACGATTTCGTAACTGCATAATTTGTATCAAAGTGATATCTCTAAATTGATCGGGCCGTGTCGTAACCAACGACGGCTTCTTCAAAGCGAACGTTTCAGGGAAGAACTTGAAGGACGAAGAGATTCATCGGTCGGTACTCTGACGATCGGAGGGGTGGTCCTGGGGGCAAATTCGAAGCTCTGTCACGTTAATTCGAGCCTGCGACGAAGGCGTCCGCGGTAAGCGGGGCGTGATTTGTATGGCCTCCTTGCATAATGATGACAGACGGAGGGGCTCGTTTTGCGACACGTGCGTAGACACGTGAGCGAGTCGGCGAAGCGCGTTGGACTGTGACACGTCGGCGCTTGGCCCTTGGCCCTGGTACTACCACCCCCTTGGGAATCCCTCTTCATCGTCCTGTTCTACATATCTCCTCGAACGTCTCTCTGACGAGTAGAGTAGATACGCATCGATGAATGTATAGTCGGTATTATCGATGATAAGGATAACGTTTGTATCGTAGTTCGTAGTCGTGTCACCGTGAAAGTTATTCTCTGCGAGGTTTTAAATATAAAATAATTTTTTCCAAACGAAGATCCCGCAATCTGCGTTTGGAGAAATCTGTAAAGTGTTAAATATCACGTTAGAAAAATTTTAATATTAATAATACACGGTAGAACAAATTTATTGGCATTAGAGGTATTTTGCTGCCACGATAAACGACACATGTTAATCATCATATAACAGTAAAAAATCAAATAAATCTTATATATGTAAGAATTTGTCATTGCTTGTAAAATTATTTATATGTAATTCAATAAAATTCATTCGCAGACTTAATAAAATCGATTGTATGTTTAATGCAAGAAAGTTTCATTCACTTTCGTAATGATTCGAACTTTGAAATCATGACGGTTAATATTCGGTAATCGCGGTAGAATTCGATGGGATTTAATCAGATTCTTATTCTGCTGATGAATATGCATGATATATATGTACATATATAATAAATGCGAAAGAATGTGGTTTACTTGCTCCGGCTTGCACTTTCATTTTCTTACTTCGTGCAAACGAGGGTAATAGAAGAACACAAGGATACGCGAAAACCGGGGGTGCGAACCCCTAGGGACGGTTTGTCCCTGCAGGACTCCCGCGGGAGACATGGCAGTTTCTGGGGTACGAAGGCGGGCCACACATCTGTCGAATCTCCCGAGAGATATCCCGCAGAAGACGCGTAGGATACACGTATTACACGGAACGCCGATGCCTCCGTCGACGTCGTTACATCGCGCGTTACATTGCATGTGCTCGATTCTCTGGGTAGATTACACCCCATACTTCTGCCACATGGACAGTTAAAGGGAGTGGCGCGCAAAAATTCTCTGGAGAGAAACAAAGCGCTTTTAATGACATTAAATTATTCAGTTTACAAAGTGTATCGGTAAAAAAAAAGCTTGTTGACAAACTTGTGAGTAACTAAACATGCGCAAATATAACGCGTACTGAAAAGTAATGCGTACTTTTAAAAAGGATTTCAAAGAAAAACAAATGGGAAAAAATAAAATCGAATTTTTTTTCTTAAAAAAGAACAGAAAAGAAAAAGAAAAATAAAAGGCAACTGTTCCGACGTTCCATAAAATAAAGTTACACGAGAGATTAACAAATTTTAACAAATTTTCTGGAGAAATCGATTCTTTATAATAAACAGGAAAGATCGTAGATTCTTTGGTTGTTAATCTGCAGATTGTTAACGAAATTCTTATCGGTGACCCTGCTCTAAACGAAACCTCGTTACCATTCGTGCGCAGCCGTAAACTGCGACATGGGACCACCACCGACTCTGTGCACACACTTAGCGGATGCACTTGCAACAAGCCACCAGGGGTAGGAGCTTGTGTATACACGTTGTGTACGCGAAACACATGGGGACATGCACACGGCGGCATCGTTGGAGGCCCCAGCGGGACCGTGTCGAGGATACGACGTGGAGAACGTCCGTCCGACCCCCGGGGGGCCGCAGAAACACAACAAAATCGAATTCACCAGATGGCCAGACCGGTGGGAGGCGCAACCTTCC